GTTTTTCAACTACTTTTAACACTCGGAATACTTTGTTAGCCCCGTAATAAAAATCATCTGCACTTTAAGATAGTAGGTGCTTACGTGTCGCCCAGATCAGATGTCCCCGTTGTTGTTGGTTTTTACCTTTTCGACTCAATCGGAATTGGTGTCTTAATTTGTTTTGGGTTTTTTTGCCTGTGCTTAGTCATTTTGTTCCCTACCAGCGCCCGTTAAGAGTAGTTTACTTTTATTTTTACAGATCGCCAAGCTTGCGCGTCTCGGAAAACAAGCGCAAACCGCTTCTAACTTTTCCGATTTCCTTCTTCAGGAACAAGTTTTACTTTCCCTGCTTCATCGGTACTGGGCGGTTTACCTCTTGAATTGTATCGGAGGTCTCGGTCGTCCCTTCTCTAGCTTTGAGATCCATCGTCCCGCAAGCTCGGTCCTGAGAATGATTTCCTTCGTTAATTAAAACGGCTGAATTATTTTCGTTCGCCCAATTACACGTGTTGGCAAACGCTCAGATATTTAGAGATTCTTGAACAAAAAAAAAATCTGCACCATCGTCAGACCGACTGCAGGCGAGTCAGACACAAATGACGCGTCGACTCCGGTAATCCGTCCGTTTGGCACCTGCAGCCTATGACGGTGATAACGATGTAGAAAACGCGAAATTCAGATTCAGCTCGGCAGGATCCCCTTCATCTTTAGCCCTCCACGCAAAACTACAAGCACGAAAGGAGATGGGGGGTCATCGCTTGAGCCTCAGCCCACGGGCAAACTTTCCTGTCACCAAGGAGACCGAGTCCAAGGGCGGACTTTACTGTGTGTCCGCACTGCCTCTAGCGTTCACGACCCCGTAGTGCAGGCCTGTGAAGCACTGCTCTGTATACGCGTATTATTATTATTATTATTATTATTATTATTATTATTATTATTATTATTATTATTATTATTATTATTAATATTCGTATTATTAATATTAATAATAATAATGAGTAGTTCAGGTGGGTAGCTGCGTCAGCATGCGTAGGCTACAAAGGAACCAGTAATTCAATTCAACTTTATTTGTCATTATTCTTATACGGGTGCATAGTATAGTGAAAAGTGGTTCTCATTAGTCTCTCAGGTGCAGTATATAAATAGAACAGCAGACAAGACAATAGACAGAAATACAATAACAATAACAGGTTTATTCCATGCTGAAAAAGAGAAGAAGGAAATTATTATTATCATCATCAATAATAATAATGACGATGATGATAATATATGAGCAAAGTCTGGGATTAATTATTAACTAATCTTAATAGTATACATACAATTGTTCATGCATAATTAAGAACTAAAGCTAAAACAGAACTAGACCCCCAGGCACGAAAAATACATCCGTAAAACTCTTGCCGGATCTAAACTATTCCAGGCGCTACATTGCTGTAGCTTTAATAAACATTTCTTGGGTGTTTTACTTCCACCAATAGTCGATTCCAGTTTTGCTTTTCAATATTTCCGTATTTCGTTGTAACGAAAAACAATGGAGTCAAAGGCATATTTAAAAATGTTTTATAAATGATCAAGAGAAATGCCACTTGACTCAATACTGCGTGCGTGTACCAAAACCCAGTGAAAGTCAAGACTCTAAGCATCCAGCGTAACTTTGCCTTCTGTGCTGTTCGTAGAAACAGGCAGGGGTCTTTGATGTGTTATTTCTAAATTAACCCACCAAATATGTAGACGTACGGCAACGTATTAACCTTTAGTTCTGCAGTCAGGGATTTGAAACAGACGACCACCGGGTTTCCTAAATACACCGGGTGCTAAGAAATAAATAGAAATTTGGCACTCCGAGTCTCTGTTGACCTCATTCGTAGTTCCCCCAATCTGATAACAGACATTGATAAAGTTTATATTAGGCGTTGTTATTGTCGTGGAGATGTTAGTGAAAGACCGTGATCTAGCAGAAAGGAAGCTGAGCCGAGCCGACTTTAGAACTACAGATTGCCGTAAAGCAGGGCGCCCCTTTGCGCTGCGCTTTACGGCTGAGGGGGCGTGGTGGCTGGGTCTGTTTTGCGACATCAGATGACCGAGTCAGCTGATTTCTTTCCAGCAACAGGGAAGTGGGAGTTATAGGTATGTCTGCGCCCCGGTGCGATTGAACTTTTTGGGGGGGGCTGTAGGTTGAGGGAGGAGCAGACAGGTTGCCGACGAAAGGGCAGCCGACAATCTAGAGGCGGTGAGCACCTGGTGGGGCCCGTGTGTCTGTCATCCCAGGGGAAAAAATCACGTCAGTGGGCGACATGTTCGGGGGGGAAGACGACGACGGGGATTTTCTGTCTCCCACGGGCGGGTGAGTAATTGAACGGGACCTGATTCTTTTTTTTTTTAATCATTTCAGCAATATGCATTGGTTTCCACAATTTCCCCGGTAGTTACACGAAACTGGGTAGCAGCGTCTAAATAGAGAATTTACTGAAACGAAAGTATTCCTTTTTTTCTTCTTCTTAATTGTGTGCGCTCTCCAAAGTGCAGAATTAAATATACGACGCATAGAGCACTGGAAAGTGCATCATTTATTGAAGACGGTCGGGCTCGGGTATGTATACCGCAGGACGCAATGCTTTAAAAAAACAAAGCAAGACACGAGTCTATCCTCCATTCGTTTCTGTCCGTCGCGGTTACGTTTTGAATGAAGTTCCTGTGTTTGAGCAGCGGTATAGCTGACACCTGTGCAGAGGAGCCTGTTCACAGAGCCGGCGTGGAGTTTCTCGCCCAAGCAGTTCCTGTTTGAAAGGTGCCGGTGAGCCTGGACTGGGTTCAGGGCGCTGTGACTTCACTTGCATCTCCCCGGGATTTGCGTGTTGGGGGGGGATCGGGTTTTTAAACCCGATTATGGAAATGTGGAGGGTCCTGGGCGGGGGGGCGCGAATTCTTCCTCATGCGATCGAAAGACGATCCGCTGTTCCCTTCGTGCACAACTTCCTCAAGTCACTATATTTCAGTTCTTGTATTGCAGAGGATTCAAAAATCACTTTGACACGCCACAGGTTTCAGAGTCGCTCGCGGAGTGGAGACCTGCGCGGACGGATCTGGTTCGAGTCGGCGCAGGCAGGCAGAGAGCAGCCCGGTGTCTGCTGGCCGCTCAAATGTTTCTGTATAAAGTGATTTTTTTTTTTCCTCTCGGAGAGTGTGGTGTTGAAAGTACCCGCCCGTCCCTCTGCGCTGCGTGTTTAATGCATTAAGAGCGATCACCGTTCCCGGGTTCATTAGGGCGCTGCCGGACTGGTCCCGTTTAATTTCCCATTAGTTTGCAGCGGCAGGCGAAGATGGTCTCTATTCCATCCAGAAGGCTCTTTAATCACGGAGGGGGGGGAGCCTTTGACTGGCAGGCATGTCTCCGATTCAAAGCCGAAAGGGGCTTCCACTGAAGGCAAGAGGGGAGCGTCTGGACGTTGCTTCTCAACTAATTGCAGCGCAGATTAAAGTTGGCGCATCGCACCGCCTAAACGAATCCAGGAGGAACTGGTGCTTTCTGGGCGCTCGGCGTATTTGAAGATGTTGGATGTGAAGTGTTGGATCCGGGTTCTGTTGTTGGCGCATGACGTGAGCAATGCAACTTTTTCTACTGTAAAGTCCCGAGCTAGTGGCTTGATTTTCATTGGCGTTGTTCTGCACGTCCGTGTTTACAGAGAGCGCCGCCTCAGTTAAAAACGAAGCATCGTGAGACCCTCCAGTTCGTTGGATACTAGCTACTTTAAACCCCTTTTTGTCAGTAAAACCCCACGACTCCGGTAAACGGAGCTGGAGTTTTCTTTATTGCGAGGAAGAGAGGAGGACAGAGGTAACGAAGTTAACAGGTGAACCCCCGACTCTCACCCGCTTTCCTAAGAGCAGCAACGGGCTTTTATTCTAAAAGATGATTGCAAATTTTCCCCCAAACAAAACCGGCACATTTCTGATGGGTCAGTAGTAGTTTCTTACCAGATGAGCTGTGAACAAGGTCAGAAAGTTAGGTCGCCCTAAGGCCCTATTCCCTTGTGTGTTAATCACGCGTAGGATACACCTGAAGGAACCTCCGCCCGCTCGGACTGTACCAAACAGTTCTTGAGGCCCTTATTGTTAACTCCTAACGGGTATCGATTCCATCACAACGAAATGAGCTAGATGGATCTTGTCTGTCACTTTTTCTACCCGTGGTAAGGCTCTCACGAAGGAGACACTAGCCCCTGTGACGGCTTCTTAGCTCCGAGTGGAGAGCTGAACACGTACTGGCCCTTTACAAATCACACTAGCGCCACGGGATCGAAGTGTGCCTGGCTTGCTAGATAACCACAACAGAGCAGTCTAGTTCCGTCTCTGTAGACTTCAGTTCCCACTTGGCTCTGAAAAAGCTTAATCAGATCTTTGTTGGCTT